TGAGAAGGGTTAAAATAAATAGCACTCCGTGAAAAAGCATGCCCAAACCTTATTAGGATATGGCTTATTGTCCTCTTAGTGTCCTAACAGTGAACTAAAATAACTAAAATAATAGTGAACTAGCAAGGAATCCAGCTCTGCTGCATAGATAGTAATTATGTTTTTTAATATTATCAAGGTAAATAATTTCTTTATAAACTATTTTTTTGTGTACACAATTTTATTTTGCAGGAAACCTTGTCCCTCACATTGTTCTACAGACATTTGTGTCTTTGATGTTCCCTTTAAGAGTGCAACATAAAGTTGATAATGGTTGAAAACTTGTCTTGGCAATAATATCTTTATATTGTATAGTGTTTGTCTTTAGAATTTGTAAATTGTAATAGAAAATGCAAGCTTTATAGAGAACTACTACCATTTTACAATGATTTGCATATCTCCATCTTTTTGGTTTCAAAGAGATTATTAGTAGAATTTTTTTTTATTTACATATCATTATGTAAAATCTTAACTTCAATAATCTTGGTAAAACCTTGGTTATGATAGTTTATTTGTATTAATATTATTATGATACAACTGATTTTTATGTTTAGCTTATGTGAAGGCATTCCAGACGGTGTTACCAAGTTTAAAAGGATAGTCAAGCATCTTCTCATTTGATTCTATCTCTACAGTATCAATGCTCTTGTATGTTCTTGTTGCTCATTCTTGAAAGGATTTAGTCATTTACTTGTAAAGAGAGGTCATTTTAAGTTGTGAGAATAGCCTTTCGAAATAGGCTTAAGTTGCTTGTCTCTATATGTTGTTCAAACTTACTATCTATCAATTGATATAAGTTTCAAGATAATAAGTTCATTATACATTCATAACTTGGACAGAGCATGACTTCATAACTTTTTGATAATGAGTGAGCTCTTGATAGAATATCTTGATAAAACAGAAAACTGGAAAACTCAGCTCTTGAAACTTATATCAATCTCTTTATAAGTAAATGACTAAATCCTTTCAAGAATGAGCAACAAGAAGGTACAAGAGCATTGATACTGTAGAAACAGAATCAAATGAGAAGATGCTTGACTATCCTCTTAAAATTGGTAACACTGTCTGGAATGCCTTCACATAAGCTAAACATAAAAATCAGCTGTATCATAATGCTCTTACATAATATTAACACAAATAAACTATCATAACCAAGGTTTTACCAAACATTATTGAAGTTAAGATTTTACATAATGATATGTAAATAAAAAAAAATTCTACCAATAATTTCTTTGAAACCAAAAAAATGGAGATATGCAAATCATTGTAAAATGGAGTCATGAGATTCTTACAACTTGCTTCTGAAAGTCTTCATGTTTTGCCCTTGTGCTTCGCAAATCTGTAGCAGTTGTTCCAGAAGATCGAGACATCCCCGGTTTGTGTCTACAACACATCCAAACAGGAACTGGAGGAGATCATGAAGAATGGCCGCATGGCTCCGAGCTCGAACCCAATGTATCTGGTGATGGTAGTGCTGGATGTGAAGATCGTGAGTAGCATGTGCAACTCCAGCAAGGTTCTCATCACTATTAACTTCCAGAAAGCTTGCAAGGACAGGAGCATCGAGTATTACATGTCAGAGAATGGCTTGATCTTCAGCAGTGGCTCCATACGGGTCAAGTACTTCAAGCAGGTGGTGGAACTGCCAAGCAACAAATTGCTGCTCTAGCTCCGGCCAAGGGCCTCGGTTCTTAAGAGTAGTTAGATCTTTTCTCAAGTATTGGAACGAATCTATAAGAAAGTTTTCTAGATATTTAATTTAATCAATCAGTCCTCGTTTGGCTAAAAAAAAAAACAAAAGATAAGAGAAAACACATCCTCATACCATAAGCTACTCTTCCACTGGGATCGTCCCCTTCTTGCTCACGTAGATACCATCCAAGTCCTTGTCATCCTTATGTCGCCCTTGCTCTTTTAAATGTAGATTCAATTGAGATTCTTTTCGGGCTTAATGGTGGAGATGAAGACACGTGGGAAAAACAGTTGAGAGTGGAATTTTTTTTATTTTTTTAGGGTAAACCAGTTTTTTCGATGGTAAACCCATTTTTTTGAAGCATTTTTTCCAGGAGCGCTTATGTAATTCAGCATTTCACCGCAGTTGCACGTTCGCTGCTCTCATCAACCAGGACAGTCTGCAGATATTCTGGAGGAATAAGGCAGTTACAAGGAAGAAGATTCGGGGGAGAGTGTCGAAAAAACTGGTTTACTCTTAAAAAAAAAACATTCCACTCTCAACTGTTTTTCCCACTTGTCTTCTTTTGCTCTGTTAAATATAGAAGGATGATTAATAAATTTTACAACAAACATGGAAGTATTGGGTTTTTTGTTGGGTGTTTTCTATCCTGATCGCGCTTGTGCTTGGATTCCTCGTCTAGGGTTTTTATAGCTGGGAGCGATGCTTGCTAGATCGCCAATCGATGGAAGGACGGCAGCGCTGGCGCCAATGTATATGCATTTCAGTTGCCAAGGAGGAGCAAAATCTTGGAGCGATGGCGCAGCATCGGCATACACAGCAATCTCGTCCTCGCAGTGCAAAATGAAACGAAGTAAGTTCATCGCCATGGCCGCTCTGGACAATGGACGATGAACAAGGCGCATTGGCATTTCTCTCCCAGCTCTAGTTTGCAAAGAAGAAAATCGCGATCTTAGCTCATTCCTTTGTTTGCAAGGTCTTGGATCCACGGGCAACTCACGAGTGCTGGGCTTACAAGGTGGTTCATTTATTTCGCCTTCTTTGCTTGAATGTTTCATTTTATTCCAGCTTAGATCAAAGAACGCTATCGTTTTAGCGATGGTGGAGAGCCTGGAGGAACGGCAGGACGGCCAATCTAGGCTGCCAGAGGAAATTCTGGTGTGGATGGAGTTATGGTCGTTGTGACGAGGTACCTATCATCGTTTTTCCAAACGAAAGAACAAAAACTAATTGGAAATCCAGGTACTTTGGTGGAACGAAGCTTTCGTTGGAGCTTATGGAGGAATCGCTGCTGACTGCCTCAAAGACGCACCGACGCACATTGTGAAAGCAAAGGTTTTCTTATGTAGTTTGGTGTTGTCTACTGACTTGCATCGAGTGTGTAGATCTACCTGGTTCTCAAGCCTGGCTTTGATCATCTTGGAGATGTGTACCCTCTCCGAAGCATTGGTGTTATTAGTTTCGATCTTTATGTCTGCAACGAATCCAGCTTCAGCTTCAGCTTGCACAAGGGTGGCATCAAAAGAGGAGGCTGTGCGAGTTTCGGGGAAACGTGAAGGAAAAGTTCGGTCCCTGGAGAGAGGAATGGCTATACACGCCGAAGCTGCTAAAGGTGGTGTCGAGTTGGAGTATTTCGTCGCAAACACGCTGGTGGATTTCTACGTCAAATGTGAGAGCTCGGCAGACGCTCGCAGAGTTTTTGACAAGATGCCACTGCACGATGTCGTGTCCTGGACGGCGCTGGTGGTGGGCTACGCTGGAAACGGTGAAGGCCAGGCGGCCTTGGGTCTCTTAGAGGACATGCAACGTCGGGGCTGTACACCGAATGCTCACTCGAATTCCTTTGAGTGCATTGTTAGAGGGACAAGAAAGCAAACGAGAAGAAATCCTGGCGATCTGTCTCCAGTAAGTGACGATGATCTTTTTTCTTTCATTCTTTTTTGCTGATGCCTGTGTTTGGTTTCAGTGGTGTTTCCCCGACAAAAAAGGTAGCAGCTACCTCTAGAGATGTTTTGCAAGAGAGGAGCGAGAAGATGGACGTCTCTCCAAAGCAAAGCTTTGAGAAACGAGATGGCGATTCCTCTCGGTGCAACGGCGGCTGAAATGGTTGAAGTGGCTGACAGAAAATTACCGCCCTTTCAGCACAGTGCGAAGAAGCTACCATGCACTCCTCATGCAAGCGCTGGAAATGGCGGCGATCCCAATCCGAACTGGCTACTCGACAACAAGTATGTATCACCAGGAGATAGCTTCTGGGACGAGGCAAAACGCGTCCTTGGGAGCAAGAAGGGTGACTGCTCGGAAGTTAAGTCGCGTATCAACCCTGACGGCCCGAATTTATTGAACTCTCCGCTACCGGTCGTGTGCTTCGACTTTGCGAGTCATGACAACGTTGGCAAAGAAGCTGCTGCAGCTCCCACTGAAGAAGGAAAGGCAATCGTGAACGATCCGTCGTCCTCAGTCTCCCGTGAGAAGTTGTCCGATTGGCTTCCGGCTGAATTATGTGAAGGATAGAAGACTGTATCAATGGCAGGTAGGCCAATTGTTTGTGATTTTAGTGCCCACTTACAAGAAACTACAGGTTGATTGTCTATGCCTTGATGGAGTTTTGGATGGTGTTTACTGTGCCTCGACAAGGTATTTAGTTTTCTTTTATGGTAATCCTTAAAACTTTTTGACAGTGCAGGAAAGAGTCTTGTTGCAGAAATTTTAATGTTAAAAAGAGTGCTGGCGACAGGGAAAATGGCAATGCTGGTTTTACCATATGTTCCTCCAGATACTTCACTTGCAGTTCGTAGCATCAAGAAGCGAACTCACTCATCAATAAGGTGGTAGAGGACGGGCGGCTGTCCGAACTAGCAGTCGTAGTTATAGATGAGCTTCATATGGTATGTATACTGACTTCCCAATATCTTTCTTATAACAGTCTGGTGCAGGTTGGAGATAAAGAGAGAGGTTAAAGCTACGACATGGGGCCGGTAAAGGTGACTATGAAAGCAGCAGCCCCACTGCAGCGATGCCTAATGTAGCAGCTGTTGCATCATGGCTTCAGGTATTGCAATCTTTTATTCAAGTCTTACAGACCATGATGATAATTTGCAGGCTGCATTTTATGAGACTAACTTTCGCCCGGTTCCTTTAGACGAACACATTAAAGTCATTTACGATACTAGTGTTCGTGCTCTAAGAGCAGGCTCTGAACTTAGCGGCAAGGATCCAGATCACATCGTCCATCTGTGGCATGAGGTTACTTTTGTGTTTTGACAAAGACCTTTCATAGGTCTTACTGATTTCAGTTTGTGCCCTTTGTTGTCTAGGTGGTTAGTAAGGCCATTCTGTGCTTTTGTTTTGTTCAAGTCGTCATGCCTGCGAAACCACTGCCCGACGAGGTACAGGCAAATGGCTGGGAGAGCAGGAAGAGCAGGGATAGACACGCATGGCGAGAGTGTAAGACTTGTCTCGTTTATGTATTCTGAAATTTGCCGAATGTTGGTTTTGCAGATATTAATCTGTAAAAGTGAGGAGCTTCCCATTCTGAAAGAAGGTTGTCAACCGTTGCAGTCATATCTCGCCGAGGAAAAGAATGGAATGATGAGAGCTCGTTTTGGAGGTGGGCACAGGATGTCAACCGCTCTGCACCCTTCTCAACTCTACACAGCCTTTTGATGACGTCGTGAAGTCTGCTCAAGATTCTTTGCTGTGCCACAAGCGACTGATAGAGTGGGATCAGGAGTTACAGATCTACAAAATAAGTCCATTAGGAAAAGCAGTGTTTGGCAGTTCGCTCAGCCCGGAAGAATGCTTGGTACGTTCTCGCCCGCTTTTGCTGGCAATGACGAATTTTAATTATGCGGATGCAGGTTGTCTTTGAGGATCTTGCTAAAGCCCCTGATAGTTTTGTTTTAGCGTCGGATTTGCACCTTGTTTACGAGGTTACTCCTATTCACATGAAGCGTGTGTATTGACGCTTTTTTGTGGCTCTTATATTGTCCAAGCTTGTTCAGGTATGTATGGTCGACCTTTGTTCCATAATACTGAAGTTTCGCCACTAGGAAGTGCCGCTAATGGACGTCTGCAGTACGTTCAAGGTGCCGAGGGGCACCGTGCAAGCTCTTCGATTGTTTTACCTTTGTTTTATGTTTTCACAGGCTGCACGAGCTAGATGTTTATACAAAGCGGGCTTACGAACAGTTGAAGCTGTAGCTGAGGCTACAATTCCTGAACTTGCAAACGCGCTGCGTGATTCTTCATTCAAAGAACATGCAGGTTGGCTTCTCTTATATGCTTTTACTGGCAAGCTTTTTGTAATAGATGCTGGTAAGCAGCAGTGGATGTACGCTGCAGCGGCAAAGAAAATAAGAAACGGAGCAAGGAGAATTGTCCTGGATCGAGCAGAAGAGGTGCGAATAGCTGCTTTCTCGGCCTTTCAAGCTCTTGGAGCAACGATTCCGCATTCGCTGTCACGGTCTTTATATGCCAGTGTTGAGAGGCCTCAGGCTGAGACAGACGAGATTGCCATATCTCCAAAGCGAGACGAGGGCAAGGCCGACGTTCATAGCACTGACAGTTGGATTGGATGACAGCAAGAAAATGGTAACCATGGCTCCAATGCGTTTGGAGGCTTGCGGAAAAGAAGGCCAAGGACCCGATCTTGCTGCTGTGACATCTTAGATCTGGAAACAAGGTTTTGATACATGCCCAAGCCAATAAGACTGCTTCGCGATTTCAGGACCAGTGGAAAATTCTTGTTGTGAACATCATCTTTAATTCAAAAAACTGCTACTTTGATCTAATACTATTAATAAATTTTGAAAATACCACTCCATCTAGCTTTCTCCAATTCAATCTTCCAGAGCATCATGGATTCCTCCTTTCGCTTATCTTCTTCGGCCTGGAGATCCTGTTCAAGCTCGAGAGCAAAACAAATGTCCCCCTCCATTGCCTCTGCCTGCTCCTCCTGAGAATCCCCCTCAAGCACAAGATCCTCATTGTCCACATTCTTTTGGAGGATTTGGCTCGTTTCCCCATTGCCAATTTGAATTTCCGCAAAGCCCTCCTTGTGTTCTGGCTGCTCCAAAACGTCCTCAAGCACGAGATCTAGCATCTCCTCATCATCCACATCCTCAAGATTTGACGACAGAATTTCAGTCATCTCTTCGTCACTCACTACAATTTCTGCCACCTCAGGGAACACAAGAGGGATGTGTTCCTCCTCGTTTGGGACTTCATTCTCCTTGACCAGTGCCATGATTCTAGCCACCTCCAGGTCATCCATGTCAAACTCTTCCTTGTCCTCCACCCTGATCACCACCCCAGCTTTATCGGCCTGTTGACCACTCTGCTTCGCTTGACTTTCGTGGACCAGCAAACCCTTCTTCGTCTCATCTTCAACTGGAGCGCGCTTGAGTTTCTTGTTCTCATGTGCCATGCCAACTTCCTCAGTGCTGCTCGATCTTGGCCGCTTCATGTAGGTTGGTCTTGTTTTTCCGCCATAAGTGAATTTTTTCTTGCACTGACTGCAGCGATACCTTGGCTGGCCAATGTTGTCGTTGTTGAAGTAGTCGAAGTTGCCACACTCACTGCGATTGCACTTCATACAGGTCGGGTGCTGCTGTTTCAGGTACGATTTCAACTCATCCACGCTTCCAAACTGGAGGCTACTCTGCTGGGAGGACGAAGACCAAAACAGTGGGTAGTTCTGGAGAAGATGGAGCTCCTTGTACACCTTGCTGCTTTTGTTTGGCATCGCTGCTGGCTTCTCTGCTGAAAGGACAACAAGTGAAAACCTAAAATATGTCCTTTTTTACAAGCTTAAGGGATGAAATGTGTGTTTAAAGTTTTGGGTAAAGGGAGTTTTATTAAACATCTTTTAATTTCCACCCTTATATCTAAATGCCTTTTCCAGGACATAATTCGTACACACAAGGATATCACCACAAGAAAATTTCAGCAACAAAAAAGATTAGAGTGGAACCAACTAAAGAAACAATCTAAGTTTCAATGCATGCAATGGTGTCTCAAAATATTTGGCAAGGAATAGACAAGTTAATTACGTACTTCCTTATTAAACTGAACAGCGTATAGCTCTTTTATATACAATCCCCTCTCAGATACACCACAAAAAAGAAATGCATGATATGATGCTACCGGAAACTTTCTGAGATGGAGATTTTTCTTTTTCTTCATGGTCCCTGGGAATATAGGAAGATCATTTTCAAAGCGATGCCAGGCCGAGAGCGTCCCTGAAAAACTCGTCGCAGGACGAGAAACCAGCCGAGAAAGCATCTCCCAGAGCCCCCATCACGTCCAGAGCCTCTTGCAGATCCGCCGAGCTCTGCATATCCTCCAGCCACTCGAGCAAATCCTTGGAGAAGGCGAGCATGGCGCTCACGTCCCGGAGCTTCTCCTTCATGGTGGCCTCCCACGCCTCAGTTCCATCGTTGGTAGTTCCACCGGCGCTGCTGCTACTCCCGCTGCTAACGGCACTACCACTCCGGCTCTTGAAAAATCTCTGGAGCTGATCGATGATCCCGATAAACACCAGCATCGGCTGGAGGATGATAAACAGCTGCTCGCTGCTGAGCGATGGAGTTGACGTAGCTTGGAGTCCTCCCGAGCTCGCTGTTCTCTTGATATCCGCTGCCGGCTGAAGCTCAGAGCAAACTCTATCGGGCTCCTGGCCGCTGGGGATGGCGATGTCGAGGCAGAAAGAGGAGAAGCCCTGTTTGTGTAGCATGTAGGCATGGACAGCACCCCGTTGGAGAAACGTTTTCCTGTGCTGTTGCCACTCGTCGTGGGATTGTAGCAGCAGCGACTGGACCATCATATACTGCACTGTCTCGTTCGATCTGGCCGGCGTGCCGGGGCTGGAGATGGTTCTCGAAACAGGAGTAGTGGTGGCGTCAGTCTCGGGAGGCGATGCCTGGAGGAACGTTTGTAAGGATTTTGCGAGAACACGGCGTTGGCTCGGTCCCTGCTGGTCCAAGAGATGTCCGGCCATTTGTACCATGAAAGGCAAGAGCCTCGAGTTACTTTCCTTGCCACCACCTTTACTATCGACACTGAACGAGGCCCCCGTTGCAAAGCGGCCCAGCATCTGTTACAGAAGGAAAGCTCACGTTAAGTTGTAAAATGAGAAGGTAAAGGAAAAAACGTACCAGGACGATATCGTAAGAGAGCAAGCGCAGCCGGCTACCATCCGCACGTCCGAGGGCGTTTAAGTTGTCCCAGAAAGTATCAACGCACCGAGAGTACTGCGCAAGCGCGACTGCTGGGCCGCGGAGAGGAAAGAGATCGTTACACAGCGTCTCGTTGTTGCGTATAGCTGCGCCTTCCCACTCCTTTTTGGGATTCTTGAGGGAGGCGTCGGCTCGCTTTTCCTCTTGGTGGCACTGGACGTGAATAAAGTTGAAATGACTAACCGTCGTGTAGACCCACTCGGGACGGCCGTGGACAGTCGCAGAACCGATTTTTACACGCTTGCTGTACGAGTAAGCTCCCAGCATCCGCAGTTTGTAGCCTTCCCGACAAACCATGCATGCCAGTCCGGCTTCTTCCTCTTCTACGTCTTCAAGGCCTTCAATTCGAGGCTTTGATATGACAATGCGCTCACCTCCATCAGATCTCAGCTCTCGGCGCATTCCCAGCCCCTGGAAAAAAGTGAGCTAAGTCTAAGAACGAAGGAACGCAACTTGAAAGATGAGTATTACCTGTAGTAACTCTTCCCTTCGTTGCAAAGCACGTCGTCTCATCTCGTCCCGTGTTGTCTCCCTTAAATTCAGGATCGTCTCGGCAAGGAATCCTTTCTCTTTATCGGATAGCGTGTCCAGCAAATTTTCTGCTCTTGCTCCAATCTCGTTTTCTCCTGGCATGCCCTCCAGTGCGTGGAGCAGAGGAAGAACTTCTTCCTCGTCAAGACATTCTTGAGTCTTGCAGTGACCGATAGATAATCCTCTCATCATGGACAGGATAATCGGAACCGATGGAAGCTCCAAAGATCGTGTCCACTCGGGTGACGACCGAAGATCTGTTTTCTTTTCAGTAAAAGGAAACGCGTCTTTCAGATACCGTATGGCAACTGCAGAAGGTAAACACAAGAGCAAAGTTGATATGAATAAAAACTCAAAAAGTTCTTACCAGTCAGTATCTCCTTCTCAAGTATGAGATTTTTAAGTAGCTCGCCACTGTCGTTTTGCTTGATCGACTCCGTTACCTTCACAAAATTCTCAACAGCGAACTGATGAAAGGCTGCTTTCTGACCCAGTGAAGCGTCCTTCGGATTCTCACCGTGCTCCTTTTGCAGCTTATCAAAAGCTCCCCAGTCCAGTAAGTAAGGCAGGAAGTGATCCACCAATACTTCCATTGCCGCTTCCTCTCCATAAGTTAGATACGGTAGTATTCTTGCGGCTGTGTCACTGTTCTTGTGCTGCTTAGACTGCTTGTAGCTGCTGGGATTGGAGAGTCGCTCCAGGAACATTAGAACACCCTTGGCAGCTTGTTCCCCTCTGGCAATGCCGGCTCTTGTTGTGCTCAGAGCGCCTTCGGTCACTCCAACGTCACTTTCGTTGGCCTCGGTGACCAGACACTCCACGATGAGTAGCAGTCGCTCCACAGATTCGGCTGAAAAGAAGGATTTGTTGGCCGTCTCCAGGAGAACATCCAAGGCACCAAGCTGAAGAAGAGCCTGCCGGTTACCCCGAATCTTGCAGCAAAACATGAGTAGCTTCAAAACCAACGCAACTTGTTCCTGACCAGACTTCAGTTCTTCGTCCGTAAAATGCTGAGAGATACAAAACCAACTTTTAGAATCAGAAAAGACTAAAAGAGCACGCACCTCAACCATACTCAGTAGCTCCTTCAGCCCACCGCTATCTTTCATGACTCCAGTAATTGCAAACTCGATTTCTGGATCCTGACTTTCCTCTCTATCATCATCTAGCTCCTTGATCATTGGTTCTGTTGCCTCACCGTCCAGTCCCTGCACACACAGCACTTTTAAAGACAGAATCATGAAAGATCACGCGGCATACCTGGAGTCGATATGTCACGGTCATTGGTGGACACTCTCTTCCGGAGACTCCAGAAGCAGACATTAACAGGCTCGTTCCTATTGCCGAATTCGCCACCACGAAGGCGCCTTCCGCCAAACCTGCTCATATGCCTGCGCAACACTGAGATCTAAAGAGATGATGCTTCCTGCAACAAGAAGCTCCATGGCGTAGTCATCCTCCAAAAGTGCAATCATCTCCAGCTGTTGACAGATTTTGTTCTTCACGTCACGCATAAGTGGACCAACTTCTAAGCTCGAGTATGGATTCTTCGTCATCGAGCCACGGATAAACTCCTCTTGCGTGTGAGCTTTGTTGAGAACAAGCATATATGCAGGCTCCGGTTTGGCCGGACAGATGATATTGCAGAGTTGTTCAAGAATAAACTACAAGAAAAACATTGAGTAAAAGGAGACAAGGAAACAACGCTTACCAGACATATGCGATCTTTTCTGTCGTGATCAGGAGTCTGAAGACCGGAAATACATGCACGAACGAAATGTCTCTTGTTGTCGTCGCTTTCCTGAAGCAGGTTGTCAAGAAGCTCGCGTAGTAACCGTCCAGTCACTTATCAGCTTCGTCTTTTGAACAACCAGACCTCTGATCACCAAAAGAGCTTCCAAAATTTGTGACAGCAAGTCTTCCTTCATAAACCTGCAAAAAAAATATTTCATATCACCGTAACAGCAATTCGCAAACTCTTACCTTATCCTAACGTTCGGAACTTGCAGGAATTTGTTCAGTAGCTCGATAAGTTTGTGTAGAGTATAGCCCTGTGAGATGTCCGTATGGAAGCTTCGCTCCTGGGCTTCTACCCGGACTACCTCTTCACTGATAAGACTGCAAGCGGTCCGCAGAAAGCCACGAACTGTAAGATATAAGCGCGCATCTTCATCCTCGATCATTTTGAACAGCAGATCAAAGTATTCCGCTGCACTCTCTCCGGCAGTTCTCGAAGCAGGTTCACAAACAGGTCCAGGAACTTGGATTTCCGAGCTACGCTCTGAGAGCACAGCACCTCGATCAAAGCGCACATCTCTTGACGAATTGGCTGGGAGCATGCACTTAGAACAAGCTCACGAACCCAGCTACTATCTTCAAAGCACTTGAGGTCCTCGGTAAGAGCAACTTTGCAAGCTTTTCGCTTCCATCGTAGAATATATTTAAGAGCCAAGGCATCTGAAAAAATAAAAAATAAATAAACAAATTCCATCGTCAGAGGTAAGAAAGAGTTTAACGTACCAGATTTTCTCGAGTCTTTTTGAGATTTTTGAGCGGGTTTAACGTTCTGAGATATGGTCAGTCGTCTCACGAAATCAACATACGTCGCACCATTTTTCCACTCCAGGTAGTTTACTAGTAGTAAATCCTGGCCTTTCGGTGTGTTCTCCAGCTCTTTGTCTTTCTCTACGTTTTCCTTGGCGGGCCTGGTGACCGGTGTCTCCTGAAGTATTGCAGCCGTCTTCACGAAAGAACCAACAGACTTCACCGAGAACCCTCCAGGTTCAGTAGTCTGAGGAATGTCAGTCTTTGGAGGAGTGCATGCCTGAGAAATAATTCTCAAAGCTGGAAGAATGATGTGCTCGGCAATAACTGGATGCCGCGCTCCAACCTGGATCGACCGGAACAGCAGCTGAAATGCGACTCGCAGCCGTGCCTCCCAAAAGTCATCACCGAGAGAGCATGTTTCTGAAAGGAGTTGCATCTCATCACGGACGCACGCGGCAATATCCATCGACCGGTGATGCTCCAGACAGTATACCACCTTCTGCTTGATCAGGCTATTGAGCTCGCCGACGGCATTTAAGTGGACTGCTTGAAAACGAAATGGAATTTACCTTCTTATGTATCTTCCTTTGATCCCAACACAGGGATTCTAGCAGGTACGTTCTCCATCTGAGATTGTTTGATGTGCATTGGAGCTGGTCTGTGAGGGTCTTTCAATTCGAGTGCTGTTTCAAGTGAAAGCCTTTTGCTCGACTCAATATCGGTGATACTGTATGGCTTGAGGCACTGGCATCACACCGCCAGCACCACAGTCACAAAAGAACCTGCTCAACCGCGAGTAAACCACCTTGTGACCACGATGACACACCTTTGCACATACTGAGCAGCATCCCTTGGACACTGTCAAGTCGCAAGTGTAACAGAAGTACCAGTGCTGCTCCATAAAACTGCTCCCACTTGATGTGAAGGTGCAAACTCTAGAAGCAAGAAGTCTTCGTCGTGCTCTCGATCCAGGCTTGTTAGCTCACCATCAGATGTCCCCTCGTCATCGTCTTCGTCGGCAGAGGTAGCATCACAGTCGGCATACCTGAAGAGATTCATCCACGAGGAACTTTAGCTTTTCCAGTTGAGAAGAAGGGTGCTTACTCCACTTTCAGTGCACCGAATCCATCAGTACAGCTGTTGCTCCGCGTCGTTAGTTCCCTAGCCTTGGCCCGATTTCGAGAGATGTCGACAGATTCGGTGGCTTGCTAATGTCTGAATGCTGCTTTGTGTTTTCGACAGTCTCGCTGCTTTTCTGCTCCTCGGCCTTCTTCAGCTCACAGTCTGAAACTTCCAAGATCTTTGCTGGAGGTTTAGCTCATGTCTTCGTTGGACACGTTTCTGTAAGGCGACTGGCGAGTTTCTGCTTCGTGGTCCACCCTCTGGATAGAGCGAATGCGAGTGGCAAGTCGGGGCTTATGACTTTGAGCAGGTTGACAAGAATAATTTCCTGCCATGAGAAATCATAAGAACGCAAGTAGCAGCAAAGCAAATCCTAACCTTCACAGGAGATATTCTTCGTAGTGGGAGGTGGTCACGAAGCATGAAACCATGATCTGCGTTAAAAGAGAAAAAGAAGAATTAGTAGAACATATTTCCTGCCATAAGAGACTAAAATGTTGTGAAAGAACACTCTTCGATGCAATCGTCTAGATCTCAAGTTCTAGAAATCATTCAAAGGTATCTATCTACCTGCATATTCCGATGATCGCAAACCACAGTACTCCAGGCTCCGTAAGAATGTATTTCGTTCTCCTGGCTGATTGAAACACAGCACTGTCAGAGCTACAAAGGAAAGAAATCCATGAACTCCATAATTCCACCTGGAAGATGTTGCGAGGGATGAATTGGATTTGGGAAAATTCCAGCGGAAATCGTTGCTCTTGAGCAGCACAGGCTGCCGCATTCGACAATCAAGAAGCCTCCGCGCTCTGGATGGAAATCGCCTGTGCTGTAGCGGCGGCAGTCCCTAATCCAGAATCGAGAGGGGAGTATCGGAGATGCGCGGCATACCTTCAGCGTACTGGCGCGTGGTAACGCCATCGCCCTGGAACCCTAAATTTCCATTCCTTTAGCCCGTTAAACCCTAAACCCAAACATGATAGTTTAGTTTAATAAAAAGTGTTAATACGAAAGAGAAGAATATTCTCCTTGCTGGCCTGGACTCTCTACTCGGAACTCTTGGACATCCTGCGAGAAAGAGGCAAAAAGAAAAGAAGAAAAAGTGTGAGATAGCCGATCAAATGAGAGAGAGAGAGAGAGAGTACTTACATTGCCCTATCGCTTCCCTCTGCCCTTGGGGCCTCCTCCATAGCGATCGAAGCTCCAAAATCCCAGGAGCTCGAAACAAAGTAGCGTCAGGGAGCTTCCAAGAGCCCAGCGAGCTCAAATTCCCTGCCTTTCTAGCTCAAGCATCCGATTCCCATCAAAAGCAGCCAGAGGAGGAGTACGCTGATGATCAACACACACGGGCAGCAATCCTCTTCCTCCGGAACAGCCGGATCGTCGTCGGGATCGTCGGGGTCGTCGTCGGGATCGTCGTCGGGATCGTCAGGGTCCTCGGGGTCGTGGGGATCGCTGCCATTGCGCTTACACTCGGATATTTCCTGCTGGTAGTCGCGTAATCGCTGCCGGGACGCCTCGAGCTCGCCATCGCCGCCATCGCCGCCATCGCTCCTGCCGCCATCGAAATCGAACGCCTTGATCGCGTGGCGGCACAGCGGGCAAGTCGATCGAGCCCTGGCGGTGGCGCATGACCTCTTCACCCATTTCCCCAAGCACTGGCTGCAAAACCAGTGGCCGCAGTCCGTGCGGACGTCCGCGATGGCGCTGCAACAGATTGGACATACCTCTCCTTCACCGTCGCTGCGAGCGCCATCGCCATCCCCATCCCTGGCATCCATCGCTGGCCGGCGAAGAAGCACAAATGCCCCGCTGGAGTGGACGGCCACGATACGCTTGATCCGATGGCTGGAGAAACTCCAACGGTAAAAGAGTGGAGGGCGCGGATGAAAAGGATCTGACGGCTGTTTAGAAAAACAATCTTATTAGACGGTGGTCCTACGTGGCAGTATTCTAGCCGTTGGGTTTTGGTGATCTTCCAGCGCGACGAGGAGAGAATCGATGCTCTCGCGGCGCTCAGCTGCTCCATCGATCGCGTATCCCCCGGAATGTCACTGCTTCACGCGAGGTATTCGCTGCTCATCCGTCGCCGGGAGCCATGCTTCGCCACGCAATGCCGGATTGCGCTCCAATGCTGTGTGTCGATTTCCAGGCAAGGAGCTCGGCTAGAGGTAGATTTCTTTCACGGTATTGTATTTTGGCGCTGGAACGATGAAGAGTTCTCATTCCCCGCGACGAATGCATCGCTGTGTGAGAAGAATTGCGCTCTTTCTCGGCACGATCCATGAAGAATTCCTCCTCGCGGCTTTTTCACTCCGTCCTGCCACCAACGAAGATTCAACTCCACCATCGATCGAGGAATGAAGGTGTTCTCGAGGATTCTAAAAGCAACTCACTCCTTTTCAACCTAGATCCAGCTAAGTTCCTCGAATGATACATATTTCCGACAGTCTGCAACATGAAAAAGAAGAAAAATCTAAAGCCATGCCAAGACCCACAATTTTTGGGTGAGAAGAATTAAGTACCTTGAAGAAAGCCTCCTTCTGGGGCACCAGCTTACATCAACAAGCGTGGAGCCTCCACTCCGTTCCAAAAACTCCGCAACAGTCATGCGCTAAATTTTGGGATGCCTGACAAGGTCGCACCGTCGTCTAAAAGCTGCAACAAAAGGAAGCAACCGGAAGTTTGATCATCTGAGGAGCTGGTGTTGTGAGCTTCTCCAAAAGCTTTGGCTGTCAGGCCCATCTAGAATTTTACGTAGCGGTGCCATTGAAGTGGCCATTACCTGGAGCGAGAGAGAGAGAGAGAGAGAGAGAGAGAGAGAGAGAGTTTCTACAAAGTTTTCCAACGAGCAGCCAGTCCAAGAGAGCGTTAGATGGCAGCCAAGCTCACGTAAAATCGAGATCGCCAAGAGCGTAGAAAATACGTTCAAGGAGGTCGCAAGTAGAGGCCATCGCATCTAAGATCGATTGAAGAAGAAAGGATGAAAACCAGCGATCGAAACGAGAAAAAAGGAGAACTTACAGTGCTTGACGAGCAATGATACGGCTTGAGCGGCGGAGTCGCCAAATGTGTAGCACTGGACGAGAGCTCGGACGATCGGCTTAGCGAGAGGGATCGCGAGACCGGTCATTAAAAGCATGCAAAGCTTGATGCCTCGATCATCTTGAGCAAAGATCTGATTGATCCAAAAGAAAAACTTAAACGCGAGAAGTATCGAAAGAGTTACTTCAACCTGCAAAAGCCATTGAGCCAAAGCTCCCACTGTCGAGGCCAAAACGAGCAAAACACCTCCTGTCAAGCACCACTTTGTATGAATCGACTTTAAAGCTCAAGGCAATGAGGATTGCAAAGCTTGCAATGAATTGCAGCCTGCATGGATCCAAGAACACAGTCAAGAACACACGAATCTTTTGTCTTGTAACCAAAACTTACAGCGAGAATGATCGATATGCTTGATAGAGCAGGACTCAAGGATGCAATCCCGTATCTTCCCGAGACACTGCACACGAAACCCATTCCAAAGTTTGGCTACAAACTGGACGTGAAAGCTCGGTCAAAACTTCCACAGCCGATTCCCATCAAGCACGCCAGTGTTACACAAGGCGCCATGATTCTCAGCTGGATCAAGAGGATGGTTTTTGCAACTTGAGAGTTTTTCTTCTTCTGAAGCTACCTGAAGTATAGCCATGCTTCTCGTGATCAATCCACTGCTTGTTTTCAATAACAATCTGTTTGGAAAGCTTTTCAGATTCTACGACAGAAGGAATGCCGAAAACTTACCCTGTTGTGATTGCATCAATAAGAAAAGCCGCTAATGTGTACATGAGAATGCCAAGGCTCAAAGGTATCTGATAAAAAAGAGGATGGTGTAAGCGTAGGGGAAAAAAACCGGTTTTCATTTGAGATCTTGCTAAAAGAGGATGAAAAAAATGACTTCAAGAAACTCGAAACATACCTTAAGGCCGATACCATTGCTATGTGGATTGGTCCATTGATTCCTGTAAGAATTAACGGTGAATTTTGCTCGATGCTTCAGCTAGAAACTGTATACCTCCAAGGATTATCAGAAAAAATCCTGGTACAATGGACGCATATCTACAAACTTTCGAACTTAGCAAAGAGAACCATGAACTCGATGCATACCCGAACGCATCTACAACAGGATCAACACCAAATACAGCAGCAAGAACAAGCTCACGAACTAATCCCTGCGAAGGGGTGAAGAAAAAACTCAAAAGTCTTGCGAAGAATGAAAAACATTTTTAACACGAGAGGGATACAACAAGACTTACCAAGACTTTGCTAAGAGCAGTAGCACTTCCCATCACTCCCGCTAGCTTCAAAAACTTACCACCGCCACCTGAGAAGAAAATAATCTTGAGAAGAAGCGAACAAAGAGAAAGAAGAAAAACCTCTGGAGTCAACAAAGACGTAGCCCGATCCTTTGCAAGAGTCTTCGTTTCCAGCATACCTGAGCACTTAGTTTGCCGGAAACTAGAAGCCCACTTGAGAGGGAGGCCCTCCTACCGAGAGACAAGGAGCCTGGAGGCGAAAAACATGAATCGTCACAGCTTCGTTTCTTCTTACCTGGGCACTGACGAACCGATCCATTCGAGAGAAAGACCCACAACTCGCTCATCTCAAGATGACCTCTCTCTCTCTCTCTCTCTCTCGGGTTTTGGACATCAATGCGGCAATAAGCTATGTCGATCATTAAGAGAGTTTACTGATTAAAAAAATTGGAAGGGATGGTAAATCCTGGGGTCGAGAGTTCCTCTCATCCCATTCTTACTCGAGACCTTTTTTCATTTTTTTATTTCAATAAAGATACCGCAAGCTTGTTTGTAACACATATATATATATATAAGTACTTCATAACTCAGCCATTGTTCCACGGCTGTGACGTCATGTTAGAACTTTTCCACCACCCCTGTTCTGATTTAGGACCATTTCTCGATTTGTGCGTGTCATCCTTGAGCAGGGGCCATGCTAATCTTCTTTGTATCATTCAGTGTCTTGGAGCCCCTGTTCTGGTTTAGGGCTAGCTGGTGGGGTTGGGACACTTGACAACGTACCACACTTTTTTCTTAAAACACTAGAGACAACGTCGGCTCGCGGGAGTTAATCACACACGTTTTTCTCATGTCTGTAAACAACATATGGCAGCTTGAAATCTTGGGTTGCTATAAAACCCAGGGTAAAATCTTCAAGCAGCACACAAGAATGGCTTCTTCAGGAACTTTCTTCTTTGTTCTTTTTGTTCTCTATGTTTCTACAGGTATCATCTATCGTCCTTTGAGTGCATCTTTGATGTCATATAAATCTCTGTTTTGTGTGTGTAGTCGCTGCCCAAAACGTGCATTTTGGTTATGGAGTTTATCTTCCCACTACTGATCTGGGATCTCCGTTGAGGACCCTGAGGCCCATTTTCAACGAGAGAGCTAACGAATTCCTGCTGACCGAGAACTATACCTCTGTCAAAAACAACCATGCCCACACCAGTAATAATGAAGAGCTCTACAGATCAGTAAGCTATGCAACGGTACCAGTTCCTAATCTGATCGGTTGATCACAGTTTGGAGTTACGTTTGGGATGAACGTTCCTATAAAAGTTCTGCAGCTTAACATCGAGGCATCGTTCAACAAGATTGCGGGGAGCAAGACAAGCATCAAGACCACCTCCGTGTTTGTGGAGTCATACAACCAGAGGATCTACCTCCGGGACCATGCAAGGGCCATCCAAACCCTCCCACTCAACTCTGATTTCCTCAGTGACTTGCGCAACCTTCCCGAGCCACCCAGCTCCGACAGCGCTTGGGGGCCATACCAATCCTTCTTGAACAAGTGGGGAACGCACTACGTGGCCGAGATGTTCCACGGCTCATGGCTGCGCCAGTGGACCGTGGCCTCCTCCACGGCGACGTTCACCGAGCGCCAAATGCAGGCCAAAGCCTGTGCCAAGCTCACCGGCCTCAAGGGAGTCCTCCCCAACATGGAGGGCTGCGCGGGTATCACTCTTGAGGAGATGCGCGCCGCGGAGGGGATCAACACGCAAGACACTCGAGAGGCCCGGGGTGGATCCTCCGCCACCGTCTCGCAGCTGCTCTCGGGTGACATAACCAACGATCTCATCCGGAAGTTCATCGAGGAGGGAGCCACGAGCAAGGAAGCAGTACGCTACGGCTTCTTTCCAGTGTGGGTGCCCGTCTTGTCTCAGTACATGTCGTCCGCGTCCATGGAGTGGAGAGTGGCAACGGCGCTCCAGGCTTACTATGAAGGCTTCCTCGCCTTCAAGTGTCCCCTGGACCAGCTCAACACACCCGCGACTGTCTTGCAGCAGTTTCGGAGGCTCAGCAATGGCAAGTATCAGTGCGTTCGCCAGTGCCAGGGCTGCAGGCTTGACAAGGATTGCAACCTTAGTGGTGTATCTGGATGCTATTGCTACGGTAACTCGTGCATCAACGCTCTGGGACCGGATGGCCGAGCTCAGGTTCAGCGGCAGAAGGATAACCTCGACCGTAATGTGCTGCCTAACAGGTCGTGTGAGTACAACTTTCCTCAGTGCCGCTGCAACACCAAATCCAAAGAGGCGAATTGTGGTGCTGACAACATGATTCCGATATGGGACCAGGGTCAAAACAGCATTGCGATCGATTCAAACATCCTTCTTTATGACAAAGAATGAGCCAAACATGATTGTGTGTTTGTTGTTTGTGATTTGCATTGCATTACGTCTCTACAATAACATGCATCTCTATGTATATTTTCCATGGTTGTGTGTGGTTTGTATTTAACAGTCCTGTGTTTTCAAAAAGAATAAATAAAAAGATGTTAAGTTATACAATACAATTCGCAAGAGTCGGCAGCTGTGTACACTGTGTAGGTGAAAGATGACTTCCATGTACTATATGAGCTCCCCAAGACATGCACATCTCAGCTGGAAGACCTTTCTGTCCTGGCATGAGTGGGATCAAGTAACTCTTCTGAGCAGGATCCAGCAGTTGCAAAGAGTGGCCTAAATTGGAGCAGCTGCAATCAAGACCTGGTGGTAAATTGTGTATACTTGAATTAGACTTGGAAAAACATTATCACTAAATTGTTTGTGAGTGCATGAAATATGGAAAGGGAATATAAAAATGTGCATATCAATTAGCCCAAAAACCTTAGCTTATATACAGAAGCGAGTGGTCTGGATTGAAACTAATATGACAGCTACCAAAATCCCACTATGCTAATATTAGTATACGGCATCGTAGCCATACACTAATGGAAGACTATCAGGGTTCTCTTGTAAACGGGCTGGGATCTAGAGGAACATCAGGAGGAGGCATCGGCGCATCTGTAGACGGTATTAACTGCTCCTGATCCTTTTGTATGAAGCATTTCAACTGCTGCACATGCACAATCTCTAGAGGCTTGGCCTACTAGACGTCATGCCGAACCTTATAAACTTGTGGTGTAACTTGCCGCAACACCTGATATGGTCCTTTCCATTGTGCAAGGAGCCCCTTAGATAAACCACGTACCGTAAGATGGGGAAAATGGACTAACACTAAATCATCCACTTTGTACTCCGTAGGTAGACGATGATGGGAGTTATACCACCGTTGTTGTCCCACTTGTACGTGGCCTAAGTATTTGGTAGACTCTGCTCGGACAAGTGGAAAAATGCTCGTCAAATATTGATCCCATGACCTAGCATTTGTAGCTTGTGGCAATCGTGAAGGTAAACCCAGCTCCGTTGGTAATATTGGATCATGATCATATAGAAGTTTATATGGTGAAGCACCAATATAACTCTACACCCCAGTGATATATATATACCAAATAGATGGCAAATAATTATCCCAATCCGAATGCTAAAAATTCACATACTTCACAATCATCCCCTTGAATGTCCGAATGAGCCGTTCCACCAAGCTATTTGATTGTGGATGGTAAACAATGTGGTGTATCCCCAACCAAAACATCAAAACATGAAATGCCTCAGCCATAAATGTGGGACCATTATCCGAAAGAATCCATTCTGGAACACCACTCGATTGAGGAGGAAGTATCCAATATCAGTTGCAGAGACGCTAGTAAGAGCACCAACTTCCACCCAATGAGTTAAATAGTCATAAACAATAATAACATACTCATTACCAATAGTCTACCGTGAAAAAGATCCCTTAAGATCAAATGCGACCAACTCAAATGGACGGAAAACTACAATTGACTCCAACCATCCTTCCGCAACCCGAGGGGGAGTATTACAAGTATTACGAATTATTAAGAATTCCTCCTCGCGGCTTTTTCACTCTGTCCTGCCACCAACGAAGATTCAACTCCACCATCGATCAAGGAATGAAGGCGTTCTCGAGGATTCTAAAAGGAACTCACTCCTTTTCAACCTAGATCCAGCTAAGTTCCTCGAATGATACATATTTCCGACAGCCTGCAACATGAAAAAGAAGAAAAATCTAAAGCCATGCCAAGACCCACAATTTTTGGGTGAGAAGAATTAAGTACCTTGAAGAAAGCCTCCTTCTGGGGCACCTCAACAAGCGTGGAGCCTCCACTCCGTTCCAAAAACTCCGCAACAGTCATGCGCTAAATTTTGGGATGCCTGACAAGGTCGCACCGTCGTCTAAAAGCTGCAACAAAAGGAAGCAACCGGAAGTTTGATCATCTGAGGAGCTGGTGTTGTGAGCTTCTCCAAAAGCTTTGGCTGTCAGGCCCATCTAGAATTTTACGTAGCGGTGCCATTGAAGTGGCCATTACCTGGAGCACGAGAGAGAGAGAGAGAGAGTTTCCACAAAGTTTTCCAACGAGCAGCCAGTCCAAGAGAGCGTTAGATGGCAGCCAAGCTCACGTAAAATCGAGATTGCCAAGAGCGTAGAAAATACGTTCAAGGAGGTCGCAAGTAGAGGCCATCGCATCTAAGATCGATCGAAGAAGAAAGGATGAAAACCAGCGATCGAAACGAGAAAAAAGGAGACCTTACAGTGCTTGACGAGCGATGACACGGCTTGAGCGGCGGAGTCGCCAAATGTGTTAGCACTGGAAGAGAGCTCGGACGATCGGTTTAGCGAGAGGGATCGCGAGACCGGTCATTAAAAGCATGCAAAGCTTGATGCCTCGATCATCTGGAGCAAACGCGAGAAGTATCGAAAGAGTTACTTCAACCTGCAAAAGCCATTGAGCCAAAGCTCCCACTGTCGAGGCCAAAACGAGCAAAACACCTCCTGTCAAGCACCACTTTGTATGAATCGACTTTAAAGCTCAAGGCAATGAGGATTGCACAGCTTGCAATGAATTGCAGCCTGCATGGAGCCAAGAACACAGTCAAGAACACACGAATCTTTTGTCTTGTAACCAAAACTTACAGCGAGAATGATCAATATGCTTGATAGAGCAGGACTCAAGGATGCAATCCCGTATCTTCCCGAGACACTGCACACGAAAACCCATTCCAAAGTTTGGCTGCAAACTGGACGAGAAAACTCGGTCAAAACTTCCACAGCCGATTCCCATCAAGCACGCGAGTGTTACACAAGGCGCCATGATTCTTAGCTAGAGGTTTTCTTCTTCTGAAGCTACCTGAAGTATAGCCATGCTTCTCGTGATCAATACACCGCTTATTTTCAATAACAATCTGTTTGGAAAGCTTTTGAGATTCTACGACAGAAGGAATGCTCAAAACTTACCCTGGTGCGATTGCATCAATAAGAAAAGCCGCTAATGTGTACATGAGAATGCCAAGGCTCAAAGATACCTGATAAAAAAGAGGATGGTGTAAACGTAGGGGAAAAAAACCGGTTTTCATTTGAGATCTTGCTAAAAGAGGATGAAAAAAATGACTTAAAGAAACTGGATTGGTCCATTGATTCCTGTAAGAATTAACGGTGAGTTTTGCTCGATGCTTCAGCTAGAAACTGTATACCTCCAAGGATTATCAGAAAAAATCCTGGTACAATGGACGCATATCTACAAACTTTCGAACTTAGCGAAGAGCACCATGAACTCGATGCATACCCGAACGCATCTACGACAGGACCAACACCAAATACAGCAGCAAGAACAAGCTCACGAACTAATCCCTGTGAAGGGGTGAAGAAAAAACTCAGAAATCTTGCAAAGAATGAAAAACATTTTTAACACGAGAGGGATACAACAAGACTTACCAAGACTTTGCTAAGAGCAGTAGCACTTCCAGTCACTCCCGCTAGCTTCAAAAACTTACCACCGCCTTCTGAGAAGAAAATAATGTTGAGAAGAAACGACAAAGAGAAAGAAGAAAAACCTTCGGAGTCATTCTCGTTGAGCTCAAACAAAGACGTATTGCGAGAGCATACCTGAGCAATTAGTTTGCCGGAAACTAGAAGCCCACTTGAGAGGGAGGCCCTCCTACCGAGAGACAAGGAGCCTGGAGGCGAAAAACATGAATCATCACAGCTTCGTTTCTTCTTACCTGGGCACTGACGAACCGATCCATTCGAGAGAAAGACCCACAAGTCGCTCACACCTCAAGATGACCTTTCTCTCTCTGTTTCTCTCTCAAGAGGGTTTTGGACAATAAGCTATATCGATCATTAAGAGAGTTTACTGATTTCGAGAGTTCTCATCCCATTCTTACTCGTGACCTTTTTTCATTTTCTTATTTCAATAAAGATATCGCAAGCTTGTTTGTAACACATATACGGCTGTGACGTAGACTTTTCCACCACCCCTGTTCTGGTTTAGGGCTCCGTCATGAAGTGGTCCGACACGAAGATTTCTGACAACGTACACGTTTGTTTTAAAACGTCAGTTCGCGGTCTTGTTTTCAAAGAAGTAAATGGGTTGGTATACGTTCTGACACAACATACCATACGTCTTTCTTATGTCTGTAAACAATGAAAATGTGCTTTGTTGATCATTCATTAAGAGAGTTTACTGATTGAATAAGATGTACGAGATGGTGGCGCAGTTGGTCAACACTTAGCTCGTTAGAAATCCTGAGGTCTGAGGTCGAGAGTTCGAGCATCTCTAAGAAAGAATTTCGGGATTATTATTATTATTTTTACATTTTTTCTTTTTTTGGTTTGCTTAACTGATGGTAATGGATATATTTAGAATATGTTTGGATATTCAAAGATATTCTACCATCTAACGGTCATTATTTATTCAGATTAATGTATTTATAATTTACAAACATGTTTATAATTTATAAACTTGCTTAAACACTTTCTAGTATATTATTTTTAATTCTACCATCGATAATCTTGTATTTATAAATTATAAACATGTTTATAATTATAAACTTTTATTTGATCAATTAAATTAATAAGTAAAAATAACACTACTATTAAACAAACTAAACATTACTACATGCATTGCATAACAAATTATTTTCAATAAAGGTCTGTGTTGTTGCAGAAAGCTTGTTTGTAACACTTTATAACTCAGACACTGTTCCACAGACTGGATGGCTTTTTAGCACCCTTGTCTGAAAGCTTCATAATGGACAAATCAAACTATTCAAAGACAACTCTTTTGCACTCCACGGATTGGTATGGCATCCTTATCCTGAGCTGGCTTGCGCCAGTATGAGCACATGTAGTTTCTGACCCATTGGTACCACATGGTACCACATGTTTTTCTTATGTCTGCTCTGGAATATTATTTCAGAAGTTATAGAAACAACATATGGCAGCTTGAAATCGTGGGCTGCTATAAAACCCAGGGTAAAATCTTCAAGCAGCACACAAGAATGGCTTCTTCAGGAATTTTCTTCTTTGTTCTTTTTGTTCTCTATGTTTCTACAGGTATCATCTATCGTCCTTTGAGTGCATCTTTAATGTCATATAAATCTCTGTTTTGTGTGTGTAGCCGCTGCCCAAAACGTGCATTTTGGTTATGGAGTTTATCTTCCCACCACGGATCTGGGATCTCCGTTGAGGACCCTGAGGCCTATTTTCAACGAGAGAGCTAACGACTTCTTGCTGACCGAGAAATATACCTCTGTCACAAACAACCATGCCCACACTAGTAACAACCAAGAGCTCTACAGATCAGTAAGCTATGCAACGGTACCAGTTCCTAATCTGATCGGTGGTTTGCATTGTGATCACAGTTTGGAGTTACGTTTGCGATGAACGTTCCTATAAAAGTTCTGCAGCTTAACATCGAGGCATCGTTCAACAAGATTGCGGGGAGCAAGACAAGCGTCAAGACCACCTCCGTGTTTGTGGAGTCATACAACCAGAGGATCTACCTCCGGAACCATGCAAGGACCGTCCAAACCCTCCCACTCAACTCTGATTTCCTCAGTGACTTGCGCAACCTTCCCGAGCCACCCAACTCCGACAGCGCTTGGGGGCCATACCGATCCTTCTTGAACAAGTGGGGAACACACTACGTGTCCGAGACGTTCCACGGCTCATGGCTGCGCCAGTGGACCGTGGCCTCCTCCACGGCGACGTTCACCCAGCGCCAAATGCAGGCCAAAGCCTGTGCCAAGCTCACCGGCCTCAAGGGAGTCCTCCCCAACTTGGAGGGCTGCGCGGGGATCACTCTTGACGACATGCGCGCCGCGGAGAGGATCGACACGCAAGACACTCGAGAGGCCCGGGGTGGATCCTCCGCCACCGTCTCGCAGCTGCTCTCGGGTAACATAACCAACGATCTCATCCGGAAGTTCATCGAGGAGGGAGCCACGAGCAAGGAAGCAGTACGCTACGGCTTCGTTCCAGTGTGGGTGCCCGTCTTGTCTCAGTACATGTCGTCCGCGTCCAAGGAGTGGAGAGTGGCGACGGCGCTCCAGGCTTACTATGAAGGCTTCCTCGCCTTCAAGTGTCCCCTGGAGCGGCTCAACACACCCGCGACTGTCTTGCAGCAGTTTCGAAGGCACAGCAATGGCAAGTATCAGTGCGTTCGCCAGTGCCAGGGCTGCAGGCTTGACAAGGATTGCAACCTTAGTGGTGCATCTGGATGCTACTGCTACGGTAACTCGTGCATCAACGCTCTGGGACCGGATGGCCGGGCTCAGGTTCAGCCGCAGAAGGATAACCTCGACCGTAATGTGCTGCCTAACAGGTCGTGTGAGTACAACTTTCCTCAGTGCCGCTGCAACACTAAATCCAAAGAGCCGAACTGTGGTGCTGACAACATGATTCCGATATGGGACCAGGGTCAGAACAGCATTGCGATCGATTCAGACATCCTTCTTTATGACGAAGAATGAGCCAGACATGATTGTGTGTTTGTTGGTTGTGATTTGCATTGCATTACGTCTCTACAATAACATGCATCTCTATGTATATTTTGCATGGTTGTGTGTGGTTTGTATTTAACAGTCCTGTGTTTTCAAAAAGAATAAATAAAAAGACGCAATATCGACAGCTGTGTACACTGTGTAGGTGAAGGATGTCTTCCATGTATTATATGAGCTCCCCAAGACATGCACACCTCAGCTGGAAGACCTGGGATCAAGTAACTCTCCTGAGCGGGATCCAGCAGTTGCAAAGAGTGGCCTAAAATGGAGCGGCTACGATTTGCTACTTGACCAGGTTCGTGTGACTGCTTTGGAAGCTAACTCAGCTCTGGTTTGTTTCTCAGTGAACACACGTACTTGGACAAGGTGCTACCTTCGAAGGAGTTTTGACAACGTCTTGATAAGTCATTGCCGTGCGTTCTCAACTGTAAGTTTTCTAAGCTCTTTACACTTGGTTTTTGTTTTTTCAGCGCTGTACATGAGCCAAGCAGCTCTCTTACGACATGGTCGCGCGCTATACCAATCATTCGAGAAGGACCCGAAGCGCCAGAGCATGGGGATCGGGAGTTGATGAGCTCCGACCAGATTGAAGGATCCATTGACCTCTTCCTCTAGGTGCACGCACGGGTCATGCTCTTCTTGGTCCTGTCTATCATGCCGTCCAGGAATCCATCGATTTAGCTTGGCATCATGTTCTAAAGAGGAGAATATTGGCGATCATGGTGTGGAGGAGACCATTGTGACACGATCAAGGCTAAGATTAGAATTGCTTGCTCGCAATTGGGATTTTAGCTTGAAATCGGGCCTTGTGTGGGGAGAACAACAAAAAGAAAAGCATTTGCACTCACGAAATGAGGAGACCACCGTCATGCTTGTGAAGCTTGTCATTTCATTGCCTGCTCGATGACAAAGTTTGCACCTGCGCAGCATGTATTTGCAGGTCCCGGCTGGTAAGCCATCTTTCAAGTCAGTCCTGCTCTCAAGTCAAGTGTTTTAAACTGAATCACAAAAGGAAAGTCTGCCTTAACCAGCTTCGATTTACCTCCTGCTTGGATCTCTCGCAGATGAAGCAACTCCTTTTCAACCTTGATCCAGCTAAGTTCCTCGGACAGCTGTGTTGATACATATTTCCGACAGTCTGCAACATGAAAAAGAAGAAAATCTACACAATTTTTGGGTGAGAAGAATTAAGTACCTTGAAGAAAGCCTCCTTCTGGGGCACCAGCTTACATCAACAAGCGTGGAGCCTCCACTCCGTTTCAAAAACTCCGCAACAGTCATGCGCTAAATTTTGGGATGCCTGAGAAGGTTGCACCGTCGTCTAAAAGCTGCAACAAAAGGAAGCAACCGGAAGTTTGATCATCTGAGGAGCCGGTGTTGTGAGCTTCTCCAAAAGCTTTGGTTGTCAGGCCCATCTAGAATTTTACGTAGCGGTGCCATTGAAGTGGCCATTACCTGGAGCACGAGAGAGAGAGAGAGAGAGAGAGAGAGAGAGAGAGAGAGAGCGAGCCGGTGTTGTGAGCTTCTCCAAAAGCTTTGGTTGTCAGGCCCATCTACGTAGCGGTGCCATTGAAGTGGCCATTACCTGGAGCACGAGAGAGAGAGAGAGAGAGAGAGAGAGAGAGAGTTTCCACAAAGTTTTCCAACGAGCAGCCAGTCCAAGAGAGCGTTAGATGGCAGCCAAGCTCACGTAAAATCGAGATCGCCAAGAGCGTAGAAAATACGTTCAAGGAGGTCGCAAGTAGAGGCCATCGCATCTAAGATCGATTGAAGAAGAAAGGATGAAAACCAGCGATCGAAACGAGAAAAAAGGAGAACTTACAGTGCTTGACGAGCAATGATACGGCTTGAGCGGCGGAGTCGCCAAATGTGTAGCACTGGACGAGAGCTCGGACGATCGGCTTAGCGAGAGGGATCGCGAGACCGGTCATTAAAAGCATGCAAAGCTTGATGCCTCGATCATCTTGAGCAAAGATCTGATTGATCCAAAAGAAAAACTTAAACGCGAGAAGTATCGAAAGAGTTACTTCAACCTGCAAAAGCCATTGAGCCAAAGCTCCCACTGTCGAGGCCAAAACGAGCAAAACACCTCCTGTCAAGCACCACTTTGTATGAATCGACTTTAAAGCTCAAGGCAATGAGGATTGCAAAGCTTGCAATGAATTGCAGCCTGCATGGATCCAAGAACACAGTCAAGAACACACGAATCTTTTGTCTTGTAACCAAAACTTACAGCGAGAATGATCGATATGCTTGATAGAGCAGGACTCAAGGATGCAATCCCGTATCTTCCCGAGACACTGCACACGAAACCCATTCCAAAGTTTGGCTACAAACTGGACGTGAAAGCTCGGTCAAAACTTCCACAGCCGATTCCCATCAAGCACGCCAGTGTTACACAAGGCGCCATGATTCTCAGCTGGATCAAGAGGATGGTTTTTGCAACTTGAGAGTTTTTCTTCTTCTGAAGCTACCTGAAGTATAGCCATGCTTCTCGTGATCAATCCACTGCTTGTTTTCAATAACAATCTGTTTGGAAAGCTTTTCAGATTCTACGACAGAAGGAATGCCGAAAACTTACCCTGTTGTGATTGCATCAATAAGAAAAGCCGCTAATGTGTACATGAGAATGCCAAGGCTCAAAGGTATCTGATAAAAAAGAGGATGGTGTAAGCGTAGGGGAAAAAAACCGGTTTTCATTTGAGATCTTGCTAAAAGAGGATGAAAAAAATGACTTCAAGAAACTCGAAACATACCTTAAGGCCGATACCATTGCTATGTGGATTGGTCCATTGATTCCTGTAAGAATTAACGGTGAATTTTGCTCGATGCTTCAGCTAGAAACTGTATACCTCCAAGGATTATCAGAAAAAATCCTGGTACAATGGACGCATATCTACAAACTTTCGAACTTAGCGAAGAGCACCATGAACTCGATGCATACCCGAACGCATCTACGACAGGACCAACACCAAATACAGCAGCAAGAACAAGCTCACGAACTAATCCCTGTGAAGGGGTGAAGAAAAAACTCAGAAATCTTGCAAAGAATGAAAAACATTTTTAACACGAGAGGGATACAACAAGACTTACCAAGACTTTGCTAAGAGCAGTAGCACTTCCAGTCACTCCCGCTAGCTTCAAAAACTTACCACCGCCTTCTGAGAAGAAAATAATGTTGAGAAGAAACGACAAAGAGAAAGAAGAAAAACCTTCGGAGTCATTCTCGTTGAGCTCAAACAAAGACGTATTGCGAGAGCATACCTGAGCAATTAGTTTGCCGGAAACTAGAAGCCCACTTGAGAGGGAGGCCCTCCTACCGAGAGACAAGGAGCCTGGAGGCGAAAAACATGAATCATCACAGCTTCGTTTCTTCTTACCTGGGCACTGACGAACCGATCCATTCGAGAGAAAGACCCACAAGTCGCTCACACCTCAAGATGACCTTTCTCTCTCTGTTTCTCTCTCAAGAGGGTTTTGGACATCAATGCGGCAATAAGCTATGTCGATCATTAAGAGAGTTTACTGATTTCGAGAGTTCTCATCCCATTCTTACTCGTGACCTTTTTTCATTTTCTTATTTCAATAAAGATATCGCAAGCTTGTTTGTAACACATATACGGCTGTGACGTAGACTTTTCCACCACCCCTGTTCTGGTTTAGGGCTCCGTCATGAAGTGGTCCGACACGAAGATTTCTGACAACGTACCGCACGTTTGTTTTAAAACACATTAAACCGGTTCGCAGTCTTGTTTTCAAAGAAGTAAATGGGTTGGTATAAGTTTTGACACAACGTACCACACGTCTTTCTTATGTTTGTAAACAATGAAAATGTGCTTTGTCGATCATTCATTAAGAGAGTTTATAAGATGTAAAAGATGGTGGCGCAGTTGGTCAACTCTTAGCTCCTGAGGTTTGAGGTCGAGAGTTCGAGCATCTCTAAGAAAGAATTTCGGGATTATTATTATTATTATTGCATTTTTTCTTTTTTTTTTGGTTTGCTTAACCAAAGAGGATGGTAATGGATATTTAGAATATGCTTGGATATTCAAAGATATTCTACCATCTAACAGTAGTTATTTATTCAGATTAATCTTGTAGTTATAAATTACAAACATGTTTATAATTATAAACTTTTATTTGATCAATTAAATCAATAAGTAGAAATAACACTACTATGTGAGTGCTTGGAATATAGAAAGGGAATACAGAAATGTGCATATCAATTAGCCTAAAAACCCTAGCTTATATACAGGAGCGAGTGGTCCGGATTGAAACTAATCCGACGCCTACCAAAATCCCACTACACTAATATTAGTATACGGCATCGTAGCCGTACACTTGGCCCTCACATCATCCCCCCCTCTCAGGATAATGGAAAACCATCAGGGTTCTCTTGTAGACGGGCCGGGATCTAGAGGAACATCAGGAGGCATTGGCGGATCTGTAAATGGTATTAACTGCTTCTGATCCCTTTGTATGAAGCGTTTTAACCGCTAGACATGCACAATCTCTGGAGGATCGGCCTGCTAGACGTCATGCCGAACCTAATAAACTTGTGGTCCAACTTGCCACAACACCCGATACGGTCCTTTCCACTGTGCAAGGAACCCTTTAAATAAACCACGTACCGTAAGATGGGGAAAACAAACTAACACCAAATCATCCACTTTGTACTCCGTAGGTGGACGATGATGGGAGTTGTACCACCGTTGTTGTCCCACTTGTACGTGGCCTAAGTATTTGGTAGACTCTGCTCGGACAAGTGGAAAAATGCTCGTCAAATATTGATCCCATGACCTAGCATTTGTAGCTTGTGGCAATCGCGAAGGTAAACCCAGCTCCGTTGGTAATATTGGATCATGACCATATAAGAGTTTATATGGTGAAGCACCAACAGAACTCTGCACCCCAATGACATATGCATACCGAAGAGACGGCAAATAACCATCCCAATCCAAATGCTGAAAGTTCACATACTTCGCAATCATCCCCTTGAACGTCTGAACGAGCCATTCCACCAGACCGTCTGATTGTGGATGATAAGCACTCGTGAAAGTGTGGCGAATCCCCAACCGAGATGTCAAAACATGAAACGCCTCAGCCATAAAAGCGGGACCATTATCCGAAAGAATCCGCTCTGGACAAGAATGTTGGAACACCACTCGATTGAGGAGGAAGTATCCAACAGCAGTTGCAGAGGCACTAGCAAGAGCACCAACTTCCACCCAACGAGTCAAATAGTCAGAAGCAATAATAACATACTCATTGCCAGCAATTGACCGTGGAGAAGGTCCCATAAGATCAAACGCCACCAATTCAAACGGACGAGAAACTGCAATTGACTCCAACCGTCCTTCCGCAGTCCGAGGGGGAGTATTACGAGCTTGGCACCAAACACAACTACGCACATACCGGATAATATCATGTCGCATCTCCGGCCAATAGAAAGACCTACGTAGCTTCTCGATTACACAACGATGTCCCATATGCCCACCTAGAACAGGAGAATCATGGTAGGCATGGAGAAACCGCGGAATAAAGATAGAAGGCACCACCAGCCGTAAATGATCATCAGGATTTGTCCCCATAAAACAAAGAAGGCCACCTTCAAGACGATATTGAGAATGTAAATGCCGGAAAGGTAAGTCATCAGTAAGTGATGTAGGATTCTCAAACCCATCTCGAAGCCTTCGAATTCATGGCTCAATC